CTGCCAGATTTTATGTTATTAGAGATAGACATGAAGACACTGAGCTCTGGTTCCGAGACAGATAGTTTTTTATACTTAACTATAAAAAATGCTTAGAGTACTGTGAGCTGATGTCCTTAGGACTGTTATATTTCAAAATATTCAGTGCTGGCTTGATGCAGATAACAAGAGGAGATATTTCTGCCTTCCCCACATGTTTTTGTAGCTGTCTTTATTTCTTCACTTTTTAGAAACTACTGACATTTAGCATACTAATTACACAGCAAATGTTTTCCAAAATTATGACATAGTGAAGTAAGGACGTTTCAGATTTTTCCCCAATAAAACATGTATACATAGTTTATATTATTTCTTTAGAGGATGACATATCAGAGCAGCCTGTGGTGAAAATTGTTGCATTTTTGTTCACAGTGACAGCATATTCAAAGAATTTCCATCCAATCCTGTTGTTCTGTATTTGAAATTAAAATTAAGTTATGAAAACAGACCTTAGAGCAACAGCTTATACCATATCCCAGAATATGACTGTTTTGTATCAGTTTCAGGCATTTTCAGTCTGTCACTGTAAAATATTCTTCTTGAAGTAAAGGGAGGCACTCCCTCAATTACAGTGGAAAATTTCTGGGTATTTTTAAGTTACTTTTGAAGAACTTTATATAGAAGACCTAGTCATGTTTATGCTCAGAAGGAGATCCAGTGCCACAAAGTCTCTGAGGGAAAATTGCCTTCTTTAGGAGAAAATGTCAGAAGAGGGAACACACAGATATAAAAATTTCAGCAAAAACCAGGACAAACTCTTTCAAACAAGTTCCTCATGAATCACAGTAATTTTTAAAGTCAAATGCAGGTAACACATGATTGATTAGTTTGTTTTATTCTACATCTTATTCTGAGCTCCTTTGCAAGCAAAGATGACTTGGCAGTCAGAACTCTGCTTACACTCAGGAACTTACCCTGTTTGGAAATTTTGAGGGGAGACTTTTTGGGAAAAAGATCGTCACTTAAATGAGCAAATTTCTCAATTTATTACTTCAGTAATGCTTTTTGAACATGGTGCTGAAGTCATGCCTGTGTCTGGAGCAATTTAACAGCCTCTGGTCCAGACAATGTCATTTTAATGTGGAAGAGTTTATGTAGCACCTGCTCCATCTTCTGTCTGGACTAAAATGTATTATTCCCTTCTTTCTCAGCTGTAAGATCAATCATTCTAAAAGTGGAAGGAATAATGGCAACAGTTTAATAAGGCCTTGCCATTTCTTTGGCTGGAAATTAAGATTAAGGTTATTTTTTGTGAAGAAATAGTGAAAATATTGTGAGGATGCAGTGAACTTGTTTCTTCATCCAAAGCAGGAGCCAGAGATGTACAGACTGCCTTCAGAATTGCCCATTTCCAAGCCAGCATCCTGCTCAAATGAGCTCACAAGGGACAGGCTCAAATCCAAACAAGCCCTAATTATGAGGGTCTGCGAGGAGCACTGGCTCTTTGGAGAGGCTGAGATGACCCATAATATTGATTGATTTGGGGAAAAAAGTACAGAGGAATTTTAAGCAGGCTGTTTTGGAGAGAAAGAAGGGTGTAGCTTTGGAGAACTATAGCTTAATAGGAATAACATACTTCTCAGAAGAAGCTCAGTGGCATGAGATCCCATTTATCTGTAAAATGGAAGAGTGCTCCTGGCACACAGGTATGCATTTGGCCTGAATCCCCTACAGGAATTTAACAAAGGAGAGTTAATGCCCAGAATAGCACAATAAAATTGGAAATATGGTTGATAAGTGCTCTCCAAAAAGGTTTTTCAGTTTGAGGATCACCAAGAGCTTTCTCAAAGAGAGCATCACAGAGTTGTGGCCATCCCACCCAGAGCAGCTGTGTAGACAACTCTCCCTCCTCCTTCTCTGTCTGGCTGATAAAACAGCCCAGAAAAGTTAACTTATAGTTAGTTAGGACACAATTTGCCCAGAGAATACCCTATCCCTGGAAGTGTTCAAGGCCAGGCTGGATGGGGCTTGAAGAAACCTAGCACAGTAGGAAGCATCCCTGCCCATGGCAGGGGGCTTGGAATGAGATGATCTTTAAGGTCCTTTCCAACCCAAAGCTATCTGTGAGTGAGTCTTTGATAATGGTTTGTATCTGTGAGTCTTTGATAAGGGGTTTGTGTCTTTGATAATGGGTTTGGAATGGGTTGCCTGGGGCTTCCAGAGCAGGAGTCCAGGCATATTCCACCATGGACCATGCCCCAAATGTAGCCCAAATGCGTGTGTGGGAATTTGATCTTTCACAGGCAGGTTCTCAAGTGAGTAAACTCCATTTCCATGCCACCTCTGGGCTTGCTGGCAGTTCAGGTTCCCCTGGCCAGTGCTGGTGCAGCCCAGCTCCAGGTAACTCCTGTGGTTTCTCTGGAGCCTGAGAGATGAGGCTGGGCCAGGAGAATCCTCTCAACCCCCTTGCACATGGCACTGAAGTTTGCTGCAGGTGGGTGAGTGAGTGTGGCTACTTCAGGGAAGTAGATTCTCCTCAAAAGATGAGAAACAAGCCAAAATATACCAAGTTGAATATGTGCATCGCTCAGGAGCATTTGTGGGGTAAAACTGGGGTCTTGGTCTGCTTTCATAGCCTGTGGTAGAGGGGAATAGCTCACAGCATGAGGATGGATGTACACAAGAATCTTCCCAATCATATGAAACAACTTGAGAAAAAACTCGGGAGATGCAATTCTGGTTTTCCTTGGCTATACCCAGGAATGAGAAGATGATTTTGCTTTTTTTTTTTTTTTTTTTTTTTTTGGTTTTTTTTTGTTGTTTTATGTTGTTTTTTTGTTTTTTTTTTTTTTTTGTTTTGTTTTGGGTTTTTTTTGGTTTTTTTTTTTTTGGTTTTTTTTTTGGCTTTTTGGGGTTTTTTTGTCTCAGCAGATCTTTTTGGTTTTCCTTCTTTGGGGTCACCTACCAAAGCTGGTTTGCTGGTTTATGCAGCATTTTTCACTGTGTTAGAGTTTTCCTCTTCTAAAAGATGATGCAGTGAGCAGAACTGGCAGACTGACTTCTCTGGTCTGAATTATTTGCTGTAATTGGCACGTCTGTCCCTTAGCTCCACCTGTGTTATCTGAAGCATTACAGCTTTAAATTCTTACAATTTGTATAATCTGTTTATTTACGGATGGTATTTCCCCCTCTATTTGTAATTTCTTGCTCTTCTTCTCACCATGGGTAAAATAACCCAAGGACTAGATAGTTCGTTTGACAAATAATGAAGTGCTATTTTTTCTCCCAAAAGAGATTTTGATTTGATTCACTATTTTTCTCTTTTCCTTCTACCCTCAGACGTTACTCTCTGTTAAGATAATCAAGATAGCTAACCTGAGAGATTGATTCCTAACAGGCATAGCTGACTGGAAACTTAAGTAGTAGCACACACAAGCCAGAACAAGTTGTGTGGCTCATCTTTCTACAGGAAAGGGAATTTTGTGACTGCTCTCAATATGAGCATTATGAGTTCTCTTATCCATACCTTACAAAAATTATTTTAGGCTGCTCACAAAGACACCTTCTAGGTAAAAAACATAATAAAAGGTACCATTTTTCTCTACAGGCAGCAGCTGTGGATGACATTTTGCATGTAGAAATTGAAGCTGTCTGATGGTACACCCAGACTTGAAGAGTCAGTGCCTCAACAAACCCCTCTTGCCCCTCCACGTTCTCTGTTCATCCCATCTCTATCAAACCTGGCAGCTTTACTGTGAGGGTTCCACCTGCAGGAGCAATGGAAGGGGGAACCTGTGGCCATCAGGATCTGCCCTGATTCTGGCCGGCCTTTGAACAGCTCAGAGGAAATTGAGTTTTTTCACAATGGAAAGATTGTATAAAACCAGTTCTGGGCATTCCTCTTGCTGCTGTGCTTGTCCTTGCTCCATCAGCCCCAGAGCAGAGGGAAGGAGCAGCCCAGGGACTGAAACTGTGCTGCAGCATTCGGCCCCAGCCAGGCAATAAAGAGAATTCACTTAGTGCTGAATTACTGCATTCAGGTCTGCTCTGTTTTGAAAACATGGTCTGGAAAACACTGTGCAAGAAGGGCCTCTTGCTTAAAGGCCAGGCAGGGTTTGGCTCTTTTCTCTGGTTTTTGGTGACGTTGGCCTCAAATTGCCTTTTTATTCCTGTCTGTAAAGCAGGGATGATAATAGCCTTACTTTTTCAAGCAGTTTGAGATCTTCTAATGAGGCACATTTTATACAGGCTTTATTAGAGTTCTTGTTTGTAGGATATTACGATACGCAGGGTTGTTGCAATGTGACTTCAGAATATGTAATGTAATTATTTGTGCTGAGTTTAAATACAGTTAAGGCAATGCTATCTATGCTGGGAGAAAATGACATTATGCTGCTTTGACATTTACCAAAAAAGCCTCGTTTTTCTATATTGCATTTGCTGTGTGTCACTTGTGTTCTGCTGCAAAATGAAGGTAATGGATGAAAGAACAAGAAAAGCATTTTGATTTTATTTTCTAAAAAAAAATATTTTGCGTTAATAGGAGCTTTTCCCTTTGAAGCCAGGCTACATATCAGTTGTCATACAGTTGCTAATCTTTTCCATCATATTCAAAGGAAATCTATGAGGAAAAAAAAGTCATTGGGTGCAGAAGGCAAAATTTTATTTATCTTGTGGCAGTAGGATTAAAAGATATACTTATTGTTTATCCTATTGTGGACAACATCAGAGTTGATAAATACAATTACATTATTTGTCATTCCTGAACTAATTCATAAGGCTTAGGCAAGTCAGCAGTGGAACTAATATGTTTAGCTTCTTATTAATAAGAAACAGAAATTGTCACTTAGATGCTTGATCTTACCAACACTTGCTAGTGTTTACCTTACTGTGAAAAATGTCTGCTGAAACCTGGCTGAAAGGCATCTTACAAGTTTGTGGTGTATTTCCAAAGCACAAGTTTGCAGCAGCTTAAACAAGGACATTTCTGAAGTTGAAATCTTATTTTTCTCTTTTTGCAGGGATCCCCAGAATTTGTATCCCCCTGAGGTCAGCAATGCAAAGCTTCAGTATGCTGGTTGGGGTCCAAAAGGGCAACAGCTGGTAAGAGAAAAAACAAGTGTGCAAATGCATTTAGAGACCGTGCTGCTATTGCTTGGAAGTAAAGAAATAATAATTCCTTTTCTGAATAGTTTATTGAAGCCTGTGCGGTAGCTTCTAGCATTTATTTATGATTGTTCTATCATGTAATTTATTTATAAAATTCCCAAATATATCCGTTCACTGCAAAGTAATCGTGTGTAAAAATGCAGAGAAAGAACACTTTATGAAAGCTTTTTTGAGAAGATGCACCTGCTTCTTCCAGTGTTGGACACAGGACAGATTATAGAGATAATAGTTTGATTTATTTAGCATCTCATTGCTTCGCAAGGGCATCTTCAGACTTGCAAACTTGGCTCTGGGGATATGTTAATATTAGCAGCCCCGTTTGGAGAATGGAGAATCTCTCTAGAACAGAGCTGCCCTGAATTTGCCCTGTGGTTGTTTGCAAAACAGACAGAATTAGAAGTGGATCCTGGAAAGATTTCAGAGCTGCTTAAAAAAAACAAAACAAAACAAAACACACCACTTGTCAGGGATTCATTACATTTCACGGAGCTATTCATACTGCAGAAATCTTAAAATCCCCAGTATTTTACCCCTCAGCCACTGCCATCCTGGATGTGCCCACTTTTCAGAGCATGTATTTCCTGGCCAGATCTCCTGGCTTCATTTCCTGGTGCAAATCCAATATTAAGTTTTTCTCTATTGCAAACACTCTCTTTCTACCATAACAAGAAATAAAAAAAGTGGCAACATCTTTTTTGATATGGAAGCTTTATACCTACAAATGAGCTTTGAAAGCTCATTATAAGAGAAAATCTGGCATGTATCTCCTGCTCCCAGTCCTCTCTTGGGGACTGTTTGTCTGTGTCCTTAACTAGATTGTTTTAAATTCTGTGATTTTAAAAATACAGCAATAGGAGTCATTATCATTGCAAGCCTGAAAATCAGGTTGGAGAAAACATAACAGATACAGGAACAGGAAAGTTCTTCCTCCACCAGGAGCTTTCCTCCTCCTGCTCCATCAGGAAAATTGTGTTTGAGAGTCATTGGCCCTAGATCTGATCAGAGAGGAGAGTCAGCAGCCTTTATCTCTGTGCAAAATGTCTTCTGAGGAGCTCTTTGCTTTCCCTGCACACAGCTGGGGGACCTCACACATCATGCTGTTCCAATCCCCCCACCACGTGTAGGGAATGCCTTTAGGACCTAGCAAAGAAAGCCAAAACTTTTTTCCCTTCACTGCTCACTAGCTCGATTTGAAGTCTAACAGAGTTCCACAATATGTAACAAAAACTACATTTTTAATTAAAAATACTACATTTTCTAATTAATATTGAGTGGCATTAGTCATGTTCTCCACCCCACAAGTGAATTTTCATTCCTTTGCCAGGGTTTTGCTGTGAACTTGCGTGCCCTCAGCACCTGTGGTCACAGCTCACTGCTGACTCACATCCATGTTTATTTTACCAAGCTGAAGGGCTGCACCTGATTTCCACCTTGGAAAGAAAATCTAAGGAGATTTTATACCAAAACCAAGAAAAATGTTCATACCAAAATAGACAAATTATATCTCCAACAGGAGAATATGCACAATCCAAGAGAAGAAAAGTCTTCTTTACAACTAAATTTATCATCTAATGCTGAAGAGGGTGATACCAATTTCCACCATATTTTTAAGCAATTTAGAATGAAAACTCAAAGCCCTAGGAATTCCTGAAGACATCACGTTTCATGCATGTTCCTTCTATGGGGTACATGCTTTATATATATATATATTTTAGAAATTTAAAAAAAAAATCCCTTTGTTTCTTGAATTCCATATGAATCTCAGAAAAATCTTGCTACAGCAAATTTGTTCTGCATGCTTATTTTTTCCTTTTGTTTTTTGTCCTTTTTTTGTCTTTTTTTACTTTGAGATTTGTAAAATTATAGGCCTGTAATTGAGCTTTATTTCCTGTTCTTGCATTTGGAATCAGGGCAGGTGAGGAACAACTCACTGGTAGTTTAAGCATTATTTTTTCATACTTCTAACATGTGTGCCTTTTTGCCCTTTTCTTTGCCAGTCATTTACCTTGAAATGAAATTATAGCAGTAGTTTATAAAATAAATATGCTTTTACATACATCAATATAATCTTTTTATATCTAATAATCAGCAGAGAATTGCCAGAGGAAAAAAAGAAGCTTTTAAAATTATAAAAAAAAAAAACAAAACGAAAAACCCTACAAGAATAATAAATGAGATCTAGAAACACGGCATGTTCATGTTCTGTATTTCAGGACTAATTGGGTTACTCAGAATATAATTGCCAGCGAAATTCATGTCACCTTCTGTGGAGATGCAAAGACAGAGGAAAAATTAGAGCCTATTAAAATTTGATAGTGGGAATGTGTTTGCTAAATGTACACCGAGTGCTGTTGCAGGAGAAGGAGGGAAGATGTGTTGAGTGGGAGGAAAAGGAGTAGCTGGGAACCACAAGCCAGCTCCCCTGGTCCCAGGAGGCTCCTGGGGGTGTTGGAGGGGGGTCCTGCAGCAGCAGGGAGGACCCCAGGTGTCTCAGCCCTGGTGCTGCACCCCCTGGGCACAGGCTCCATCCAATTTCCTGCTGCACCTCCCAGGAAAGGCGGCAGCCAAGGCCAAGTGTGTTTTGCATCACCTTGAAGATACCCCAATTTTCGGGAAATAAAAAAGCTTTCCCCTTGAAATCTCCTGGTTTGTTCTTTTTTTGGCGACATAAAGGAAAGGCAGGGCAGGAGAGTAAGAGGGCTTGGTTCCAAAATTTTTATTCTCTTCGTAGCTTCTATTTCATTCTTCCTAGGGGAACTTTGGGTTGCTGAGCCTGACCTCTTTCTCTCTTGCATGTCTAATCATTCAAAAAAAGAAACAAATCTGAAATAGAAAGAGCCTGAATGATCTGCATTCTCTGCAATTAAAAATACAGTGGAATATTCCCAGGAGCAAGTTTCTATTTATCTTGTTTTATTTTGTCCTTTCTCATTAAATTATATGCCAATTAAGTCCTCAGATCATGTTTCTTGACTTCTTACTAGCCTGCAGAATGCCACACATGCCAACTGAGCTGTTTAAATAATGGCAGATACTGGATCAGAGAAAATCTGTCAGAAGATCAGAATGCAAAAAAGCTCTCACTTCTGGCATCTCAAAAAAATGCTTCAGCTTTTCTCTGATCTCAGCCAAAGTCTTGACAAATTAAGTCTCACAAAGCTGTTGGAAGAATGGGGCCCTCTCCAGTGTGAGCTCCGGAGTCATTAGAAAGAGAGCCACTAATTTCAGTGCAAGAGGGAGCACATTCCCTAAATGTGGCTGCTAATAAAGGGCTCATTCCTCTCATTTGTCCTACAGCATGAGTCATCATTTGTGCCTCTACAGAATAAGTGAAAAACACTGGTAACTTGGAATAGCTGTGTGATATATCCACTATTTGTGGGTGTAAATGACTATGCAGAATGCCTATGGGAAAAATCCATCCTTTCCATGGTGCACCTGACAGCCCAAAGCCACACTTAGTATTCCATTTCATCAGCCTACTGACCTTCAGCAAGAAGCTTGGTGGCTTTTTAGTGAACAGACTGTACTATCCTCAGTTTGTGTGATATTTTCCAGCAATATGAAGCTGTGGGTGGCATGACAGGACTGCAAAAAAAGTGTTATTCTGTACCTTTGTCCTGTTCTGGGCATGCTTATCTGCACAAGAATCTTCACTCCTTGGATTTCTTCTCTTTTTCTGATCATGCCATCTATGACTCAACAGCTACCCACTTCTGATTTTGCCACCAAAAAATAAAAACCTTCTGTTAATTGATCTTATTGGAATATTTTACCAGTTTCATCATGTTCCATCCCATGTTCCAAGGCTCTGCCCACATGCTGAGAGCTCACAGAATGTTCCTGTGGTACGTTTGCCCCAACAGTATCTAAGAAAACGTTAATGGTGCCTGAGATCCTGAGCTCAGCTTCCTGAAACTTGTGTGGCTGACAGGCTTGGACCTGTCTTTTTTTCAAGAAAAGTAAGTGCAGTGTGAAGAGGTTTCCTTTGCTGTTTTTCTTGGCAGCAGAGACAAAATCAGGGAGTGCTTCAGGAGTGCTTCAGGGGCTGCCCAGTGCCTGTCTTTAACTGAGGTGCTCAAGGAATCCAATAAACCCAAAGCTTTCAGGAGGCTTTTATCTAAGTTATCCCAAAATGAGAACATCCAGGTTCAAAGTATTTGCATTAAGGACAAGCTAGAATTATCCTTGGGCCCTGCTGCCACAAGGAAAGAGGTAGCAGCAGACCTGCTCTAATAAAATGCAGTGAATATTTGTCTGCATTGACAGCACTAAATACAGTTCACAGGAGCTGTTAAGCTCCAATATCAAAAGCAGATGCACTTCTGTTGTGCTGCTGTTTTCTTTTTTTTTCAAAATCAGAATCTGTAACTGTCCTGACAGGTATTAATGGTAATGGTGACACATCAGATGCTGGGGAAGCAGTTTTGCACAACTTTAGAGGCAGCAGTTATCATTCTAAAAAATCTCTCTCATAGATCATAGTATTTATTCTTCCACAAAGAGAAATATTTCTTTTCTGGTTCTCCTGACCAGTCAGTCTATTATTGTTTACACAGTTTCTTTAAGTACCAAAAACATCCAAAAAGCAGATTGGGGTTGCTGGAAGTTTTGCATGTCCTTGCATTTATTGCAGCCCCACAAAAGGGTCTAAACAGGTTTTTCCTGCATTCATAGGCAATAAGCCTTTTTCAGTGTCAACTGTTTTTGGAGCAGGATCTCTTTTTCTTGTAGATTGTGCTGCAATCAAGTTTATAATTGGTTCTAAGGTAACAGAAGTTAAGTTTCACAGCAGGTGCAGAAGATGCAATAAGAAATCTCTATTTCAGGGAAATGCAAATGCCAGGGAAAAGAATGGAGTTATTCTTTCAGCCTCTTCCATGTTAGGGCTTTGCAGGTGCCTTCAAACAGTGAATGCTGATACTGGTAAACAG